TCCACATCCTCTCTGGGCAATCTGTTCAGTGCTCAGTCACTGCACAGTTCCAGTCCTTCACGGACTCCAAGTTGAGCCTAGTAAATACCAGAAATTGCTGGCCATGTTGTTCAGTGGTCAGAGAAAACCCTGGACTTGTGATGTTTTAAAAACTCTGCCTCTTAGTGTAGATAAGCTGGGAAATGTGAGGCTCACAAGGCATTTGGCAGGGAAGTCTTCAGACACTTTCCCTGAAACCACAGGTCCCAAGATTGTGTGAGTATGGCTAGAAAGATCTCTATCTCCTGACTCTCAGCCTCCTGATTTAATCCCTATTTCCTATTAATTTTTAATGCATTCATATTCATTCCATAATTCATAATTATTTCATATTTCCATCCATTATTTTTCTATTTGTTTCTGTGTATTTTTTGTGTGTTTCTTCATTTTTGCAACATTTGGTTTTTTTGAGGGTTTTTTCCTTCTCCCTGTTCATTTTATCTTGAAGTTTGTCATTTGGAGACTTCGCCTTTCATTTATCTTTGGATTTGGCAGTATAATTCACTTTATGATGATGTTTCCCCCAGTATGTCTGCCCAAATGCCTCTACTTCATTCTTCAGGGTCTTTTTGCTGTCCCCAGGGGTGAAAAAGGGCTGGAAATTCAGGAGAAAACTGCTACTGGATGGCAGTGGAGGAGAGGTCAGGCCAAACACATCCCACAGGAGTTCGGTAACTTCACAGCAGGCATCCACAAGCAGATGTGGGAGAGGGGAGAGGTTGAGCATCCTGCCCCCCTGGCCACAGACCGAGGAAGCAGACTCTGGACAATGGACTCATTTCTTCCCACTGGCCTCACCACAAATCCCACTCCTTTTACTCACGGTTTCCCCAGGTTTACCGAAAGAAAAACAATCTGATTTTTTCAGTAGCATTCCAGTGCAACAAACAATTGAGTGAAGATTTAAATCGTATTTCAATTCACTGCAAAAATGTGCACTCCATGTGGCTTTTCACCAGCTCAGTTTGATTCCCACAAAATATTTTGATCCTGCAATTTACCAATTTTTAGGACTTTGTTCTCCTTGAATCTCAGGGGGTTATGTCCAGAATTTGCCTATCCAGTGGGAAGGCAGCTACATTTTAGAGGCAGGCTCGTTCTGTGACTGCAGCCTTCATTTTATGTCTGCTAGCACCATCTATCCAGATCAGAGGCTTTAGAGTTACATCCCACCAAGGAAACACCACAATGGAATGAGTGACAAAACCAAATTCACTAAAGGAATAAAAGCAAGGCAAGTAAATTTAGGTCAAGGTGAGTTTATTGTCCATACAGCATACCTAATCCCGCCAAAACACTTTTCTTAGAACCATCTTTAAACTAGTCAAAACAATAGGTTATTAATAAAAATGACAACACTGAACGAAGACCTTTTAAAAGGCAATCAAGACTACACCGTATCAGAGTCTTATCCATCAAAAACAACCTCATGTACTTTCTAAATACTTTTGTTTACACTGATGTCTACTACCACACTTTCTAGCATCCCCTGACCACATAAACATCCACACCTCTTAAAGAGCACATTTGTGAGAGAATAACGTTGACTTGATATGGCATCACACTCAATAAAGCAAAAAAAAAAAAAAAAAAAAAACCAAAAAAAACTAAAACAAAACCCAAAAAAGTTTGAGAACAGAAACTGTGCAACCAAGAGTGATTTCTGAGGTACATGAGAACATGGTAATAAACATAGTGGAAAAAATCCAGTGGCCAGGTAGTTTGCTGAGTAATTAAGAGCTGTCCAATTACTCAAGCATAAATCATAGACATTGAATTAGTTGGACATGGGATTAATTGGTATTTTTCTCTTTCACAAGCATGTTGGAAATACAAATAAATACATTATGAGGTGCTCCTACACTACAGTAAGAGGAAGGAGGAGAAGACCATCAAAGTACCATCAATAGGAAGCTGAGAGAGAAACGCTTTTAGCAACTGTACCAATCCTTTGGCACTTGGGAAGGCAGAATCAGCAACACATCTTCTATTCTTTTTTAATCAATCAATTGGGAGGTTTACAATTTCTGCAGTTTAGGGGGGGAAAATCTCACACCTCATTTGCAGTAACAACACACTTCCTTTTACATCTGTTAAAAGAGAGTACTAGGCAGTCATTTTATTCTGAAAGCTACTGTGAAAGCACTCAAGTTGTAGGGTTTGCAGCTTTCAAACATACAGTACGGTGTAACCAGAGGGTTGGCACTTGCTGAGCATGTCACTGCAGCCAAGGACACTCCTCACCCTGGTGGGGACACACACAGACCCACCAGGACCCCGTGGAGACTGGGAATGCTGAATGGTGCTGCCCCTTCCAGCACAGCTCTCCCCCATCCTGCTGTAGAGCAGCTGACCATGGAGGTGGCCCTCAGCCCCTGTTCTTACAGTCCTGCAGAGGGGTGACACTGTGGGATCAGCCCTGTGATCCACAGCAGGGATCATCCCTGTGTTCCACAGCAGG